ACCAATATATCGAGATATCGGTCTTCCACAATAACATATACCAAACCCAGCCCGCGCGAGCACGCGTTCCGGCACTGAGGCGAGAGCACGACTCTGGAACACATGGGGAAAGAGGAAGCCCCACGAAAAACAACTCCCTGACTGCTCGGGTTTCCCGCCCCCCCCAGTGGTGGACTGCGGTTGGGCGAGAGCATGGTTCCTGAATGGATTGTGCGGAAATCTCAGGCGAAACGGCTCAGCGCGTCCGCGCGCATGGGGCGGTTCCGCAATAATCAAAAAATGCTTAAATGCAAAACAGCATGTTAAGTTGGAAAACCGATCGGTCATCGCTAAGGGGCGGTTGTCGCTCCCAGGCCAACATGGCAAGCTTTTGGATTTGGGAAATGCAAGACCCAACGCGCGCGAGGACGTGCGTGTTCGCGCGGACGCGCGCGCGAGACGTTTCCGCAAGGTCCCATGTCAATTTTCGTGAAGGAACATGTTACATTGGAAAGTGATCGGTCACCGCTGGGGCCCGCCTAGCTTCTAGACCAACATCCTATTTTTTCCACTTGGGACATCCAGCACCCAACGCGCGCGAGATCGCGCGTTTTCGCGCGGACGCGCGCGCGTCCGCGCGCCCGCGCGCGCGAGACGCGTCCACAAGGTCCCATGTCGACTTACGTGGGAAGTAGCATGTTAACTTGGGTATAAGATCTGTCACCGCTGGGGTCACCTTTAGTTTCTAGACCAACCTCATAACCTTCTGCAGCTGGGAAATACAACACCCAGGACGCGCGTGTCTGCGCGGACGCGCGCGCGTCCGCGCGCCCGCGCGCGCGAGACGCTTCCGCAAGGTCCCATGTCGACCTACGCGTGGAGGAGCATGTTCACTTGGAAATAAGATCGGCTACCGCTGGGGGTCCGCTGTCATCTAGTTTCTAGACCAACCTCATAATCTTTTGCACCTGGGAAATACAAAACCCAACACGCCCGAGGGGGTGCGTGCCCGCGCGGGCGCGCGCGCGTCCGCGCGTCTTCGCGCGTGAGACGGCCCCGCAAGGTCTCACGTCGACTTACGCGAAGCAGCATGTTAAGTTCGACATGCGCTCATAGGCGCGAAGGGCCGACTTCGAGGCCACCATGGTGACCTTTCTAATCTTGGAAATACAAGACCCAAAACGCGCCTGGACGCGCGCGCCCGCGCGCCGTCGCGTGAGACGGCCCAGCAAGGCTATACGACTGCGCACTAGGAGCCGCATGTTAAATTTGGAATCCGATCGGCCACCGCTAAGGGGCGACTTCGGCTTCTAGGCCGCCAGTGCTAGCATGCGAAAATGTAGCATGCCGAACCCACGACGCGCGCGTTCGCGCGTCCGCGCAGACACGCACGCGCGCCCCCCTTTCAGCAATGTTCCATTTTGACATGCGAGAAAAAAAAAAAAACATGTTAACTTGGAAATCCGATCGGCCACCGCTAAGGGGCGACTTGTCTTTCTCGGCCGACATAACGGTCTCGTTCATTGCGGAGAATACAATGCCCAAAGCGCGCATGAGAAAACACCGCAAGTTTCTGCGTTGACCTCGGGGTTGCGCGTTGGGTTGGGGGTCCAAGCGGTCGCCGATAAGGGGCGACCTTTGTTTCCAGGCCAACATGGCGCCTTTTCTCTGGTGAATACTATGCCCACCACGCGCGAGAACGCGCGCGCTCGCGCTTCAACGCGCTTGAGAAGACAACCAGCCGTTCTCCTTTGACTCACATGCAACGCTGCGCATTCAAGTGGAACTCCAATCGATCGCCGTTGCGAGGCGACTCCCTTTCCAGAGCCAACGCCGTTATCTTGCGCCATGGAATGCACCCGACCCAGGGCGCGCGAAAACGCGCGCGGATGCGCGCGAGGCGGTCTTGCGAACATCCAGATTGACGTACATATACAACATCTTGTTAAGTTGGAAAGGTATAGCCAGCCACCGCTAAAGGGCGGCTTTCACTGCTAGACAGCCATATGGCGATCCATACGTTCGGGAACACAAAACATAGCAAACGCATGGCGCCCGTGCCCGAACGCGCGGGGAAGAGCCGCAAGACCCCGCGGTGACTCACATGAAACAGCGCGCGACATTGGAGATCCAATCGGTCGCCGCTACGGGGGCGGCGCTCGGTGAAAACAGAATCCGACGTGCGCGCATGTCCGCGCGCCCGCGCGCGTGAAAGGGCCGCAAAGTTACGCATCGACCTGCGTGCACAAATGCATGTTGCGCTAGGGCGCATGGTGGCCTATCGCCACCTGCGAAACGTGCAATGCACCGCGCGGGCGCGGCGGCGCCGCCGCGCGCGCGGCGGCGCCAGCTGCCGCGAGCGCGCCGCCGCGACGCATGCGCCAGCGCGACGCACGGGGAACACGCGGCCATTAGCCACCTGAACACCCAGAAAAGCTTTGCAACCCACGCGTGCCATTGGCGCCCTCGACCGCAACATGCGGTGATCCATTGCCACCTGCCAGGCGCGCAACGCGCCGCGCGGGCGCGGCGGCGCCGCCGCGCGCGGCGGCGCCAGCTGCAATGGGCGCGCCAGCGCGACGCATGGCGAACCGCGGGCCATCGGCAATCTGAGCGCACAGGAATCATTGTTGGAAACATGCGTTAACACTTCCGCCATGCGCGCGCCATGGGCCGATAGCTCTAGGGGGTAAGTGGCCCTGGGCCATCTGAACGCCCAGAACCAAATTGCGACAACCGGTTGTAACAAAATGCGCCCTTGGCCACAATGTGGGGCGATCCGAGGCCGCGTGCTAGATTTGCAGCGCGCCGCGCGGACGCGGCGGCGCCGCCGCGCGCGCGGCGGCGCCAACTGCCGTGCGCGTGTCAGGGCGCCGCATTGGGAACCGATAGTTCTGGGCCATCTGGGCGCGCGGCGCCAGGCCTTTGCAATTCGCATGAACAAGGGTTGCGTCCTGGGCCACAACGTGACGTGACGTACTGCCACTTGCGAATCCTGCTATGCAGCGCGCAGGCGCGTCGACACCGACGCGCGCGCGGCGGCGTCGGCGGCCGCGCGCGCATGCGCCGCGCGCGGAAAACTGGCGGCCACGGGCCATCTTGACGCCCAGACCGAAATTCTTACAACAGAAAATGTTACACGTGCGCCCTGCGCCACAACGTGGTGTGACATATCGCCACCTGCTAGCTTCGCAAGACGCCGTGCGGGCGGGGCGCCGCCGCCGCGCGCGCGGCGGCGCCCGCTGCCGCGCGCGCCAGCGCGTCGCATGGTGCACCGATCGCCCTGATCCGTCACAACGCCCAGAACTAATCATCGACGGCCACTTGTAAAATCTGCATTCTAGGCCGCAGCATGGGGCGCTGCATCGCCCCATGCTAGATTTGCAGTCGGGCGGCGGCCCGCGGGCGACGCGCGCGCGCCGCCCGCCGCCCGCCGACGGCTGCGCGCGCAGCGTTGGGCATTCCCGAGTCCCCCCCCCCTCTCTCTCAAAAAAAAAAAAAGCTGCGATGTCGGCCTGGAGACAAAAGCAATACCTTTGGTGGCGCAGGTCATTGTGCGCGCGTTCTCGGATGGCGCGCGGCGGCGAGCGGCGGTCGGCGAGCGCGCGCGCGCGCCGCGTGGAATTCCTGCTTGTCCACAGTGCGAAAGCAGCCATGTTGGCCTGGAAACCAACATGAACCCATTGCGGCGACTAGGTTCAAGTTAGCATGCCGCGGCGCATGTTTTCTTTGATGGCGCGCGGAAAATGGGCGGCGGTCGACGGGCCGCGGACGACGAACTGCGCGCGCGCGCCGCCCGCCGCCCGCCGCGCGCGCGCCCGCCGCGCGGAGAATTCTCGAGCATCCGCAATAGAAAAGCAACCATGTTGGCTCGGATATTGAAGTGGGCCGTTATAGCGGCGACCGATGGATTTGCAGATTCACACTGGTCCCTTTACATTTTCCCCCCACGACGCGCGGAAGGCGGGCGGCAAGCGGCGGGCTGCCCGCGGGGATTTTTTTCTCCTAAAATATATAAGGAAGCCGCCATGTTGCCTTAGAACCTTCAGATGCCTTAGCGGCGAACGATTATATGTCCAAATTCATATGGGTCGTGTACGTTTTCCCTGCCATGTTGCCTTGGCAGCTAAATTGAACCCATCGGCGACCGATTCGATTTCCAAATTAACATCGGTCCTGCTGCACGTATTCTCTGAGGGTGCGCGGAGGGCGGGCGGCGGGCGGCGAACGACGAGCGCGCGCGCCACGCGGGGAGTTCCTGATTGCTTAAGCTGCGCAGCCATGATAACCGAACAACTGAAGTGAACCTTTAGCGGCGACCGAATGAATTTCCGAATTAACATGTATCCTGGCGCGGGCCCGCGCGGGCCTGGGTTTCCAAATTACCACGCATCCAATCTATAACCGTAAAGAGCGGCCCCAGTATCAGCCAACGCGGCGACTTTCGTCATATGGCATGGTGACGGACACGCGTTGCGATCACGACGATGACGATGACGATGCACATCTCGGATAACTCAACGAAGCCCATGGTAAATACAAGAATTACATGAAATACGCTGCGAAAAATGATAAAATGCACACCGGCCGCGTGGACGGCATGGATGGTGGAGAGAGTGGGTAGGCTTAGGAGGGGGGAGGCATCGACACTCAGTCGCCCATGGATCGCCGACAGAGGCCCGATAACCCACCCCGCCGAGCAGCCTTGGGATTCGCTATCGGGGGCCTATTTCCAATCTATCGGCGATGACGCATCGCCAGTTCTGGGTCGATGCCCCCTCCCTGTGCCGGTTCCTTTGATCGTTCCCCCTCAGAGGAGGCCTGAACAGTCAGGACGGTGGAATGGGGGGCCGCTGTGATTTCGGAAGGGGCTCTCGAAGTTCCTTGGATTCTTCCGAGGGTTTCCTCGTCGGGCGTTCCACAGAAGTCTGGGTGCACGTGGGTCCAAAAGTGGACTTTATTTCTCATTCAAGGTTTCTTTTTGCATGAATTTGTATCACATGCTTGGTGGGCCCTGAGAGGGTGGCGTGTTCTGGTGCCCGTGCCGGTTGGCGATCTCCCGAGCAATGCCAACCTCACCTTCCCTACTGCGAGCACGACGTCGATTTTGGCGGCATTCAATTGCGCAGATGGCTACAAGAATTGGGTGGCTGGTTGGTCGGTCAAGAAGAAGGCGTGCCATTCTTTCATTGGTGGTAGCGGGTGGGGGCGAGAATGGTTTCTAGGTTTGAACGGGAGGTGGGGCAAGATGGAGTAGGGCGGACGGTGGAGGAAGAGTGGAAGGGAGAAGGGAGGGAGTGGGTGAGGGAGGGGCCCAAAGTTTTGCAGCTTGCTGCCATTCGCAGATATGCACGCTCACGTGTTTGCAACATCGTCTGCACTGGAAGAGAGTGAGGCAAACACTGACGAGATCGACTGTGTTCCACTGTGGCAGGAGGGGTGTGCAAGGACTCACGCAATGTTCATGGATGCCCTTTGCCGAGAAAATGTCATGACACCTCCGGGTTTAGATGGTTTGGTCAACATAGCCGATTGGTAGCCGCATTGTTGGTAATTGGTGGTTCTTCATTGTGGTTCGCCCGTTGGTCTTCCATTCATGGCTCAACTGCTCTGGTCCCCGAGCTCGCTCATTTAGCGCCCGTCGGCGTCGTCCACGAGATGACGAGCGCTCCTCCCGCAAATCATAAGGAGCAGAAGGGAAGGGGTACGAGGGGAGACGCGTCGGGTACGAAGGGGAGGAAAAGGAGAACGGCGACGAAGACGAGGGGGATGGCGAGGGCGAGTGGAATGGCTGATGATGAGGAAGAGGAAGAAGGTGGTGGAGGAGGAAGAGAGGGAAGGAGGAGGAGGAGGAGGAGGAGGAGGAGGAGGAGAAGGACGAGGCGGATGAGGAGAAGGGAAGGGAGGAGGCTAAGGAGTAGGCCGCCGTCCTTCCCTCAAGATGTGCCTCCTCCTCCTCCTCCTCCTCGACATACCATGCTGCTCCGTGATCGTTCTCGAGGCGGCGGGCGCATGCATGGCGCCTTCGAGTACGAAGGGGGGGGGTCCGCGTGCCCGCGAGCTGGTCGCCCGCTCGCCGGTGTTTTGCCCCCCTCCCTCGGACCGCGATCGGGGCACACGCCGGGCGATGTCACGCTCAGCGCGCACGGTCCCTTGGAGCGCGCTCCAAAAGTACACGCTCAGTGTACCCCAGATTTCGTAATAAAGGGAGGGGGGTCTCAGTTCGGGGGGGGGTCTCTTCCAGGCTATCTTGGAGGGCCTGGGGGGGTCTGGGGACGATGTTTTGGAGGGTTCTCCCACGGGGGAGGTCTGAAATGGCTTGTCTTGGAGGGTCCAGACCCCCTCCCTTTTATTTCGAAATCTGGAGTACCCCCCTTTCCACCCCTCTGCACCTCCTGGCGGGGGACTCAGCGTGTGCCTCGGGCGAGCGCTTGGCGCGTGCCTCGGGCACGCGCTCAGAGGGTGCACCTCGGCGGAGCAGCCGGCCAGCCAGCGCAGGTGCCCCACGGGCGGCCCTGGGCGCCCAGGGGAGCTCGGCGGCCAGGGCCGGGGGGGCAGCGAGGAGGGGCGGGCCTTCTCCAGTCAGGAGGACAAGAAACACACAGACACAATTAATCCTCGATTCCCCAGAAAATATGGGAAAATACGGGAAGTGGGGGGGAAAACAGAAACCCAGAAAAGATGGGGAAATATGGGGACTCTGTTTATTTGTGTGTATTTATTTGTGTGTCCTGGGGCCCCTTCATCTAGGGGAACAAAAAGTGGCATCAACATACAAACTCGGAGGTCCGCGCGGACCTCCGAGTTTTTTATGTTATGGCTCTTTTTGTTACCCTATTCTCAGGAGGCTCGGAAGCCCCCCGGCCTTCTGAGGCGTCTTCCAGGCCTTCCCCGAAGGCACAGAAGAAAATGACGCAAACACAGCAACCATTTCTGAGGAGGCGCGGGGGCTTCTGAGGAGTCCCGCCGCCTCCTGAGAGGGCCTTCTCCTTCTCACTCCCCCCCCCTCGCTCGCCGCCGAACAGAAGCCTTGGCCTGGGTCGGAGGACGATCAAGGCTCGACGACGAGCTTCCCTCGGATTTCTTATAGCAAAATGTCTTACAGTGGAGACCCATGCCAAGAAACACCCTTCTTGCCTCCAAAGTGGCCTGGGCTTCTTGGGTTTCGATGGCTATACTGTAGAGGACGTGATGCTCTGCCGCACCAAAAATCAGTGGACGTCCTGGGGTCTCAGGGTTGGGTTTCTTCTGGAAGGTTGCTTGTGGACGGGCCTCCACTGTAGAAGCCTTGGCCTGGGTCAACTCATGAAGATCAAGGCTCGACGACGAGCTTCCTTCAGATTATCGTAGCAAGATGTCTTACCGTATGTCTACGAGGAAAAGTCAGAAGGCCTCATGCAGCGCGCAATAGTTGCATCATCTAGTCCACCCGCCCACCCCGTCAGATATGGGACGACGTTCGCGCGGAGCTGTTCCGACGTCAGTGAGACGCGCTTGCGACATCACAGTCGACTTGCACAGTAAGGATGAGCGACTTTCCCAAGGGTGCCCTTGCATCCTTACCTCCTCGGCCCATCCTTGGCCACTTCTGTTGGCCGCACCCTGCTCGAAAAGCTTCGAAATGGGCGTCCAAGTCCCTTGCATCCCCATCGCGCATCCTTGTGATGCGGGCCGACTGTAGTCTGACGTAGATCCGACGTGGATCCGACGATAAGTGGGTCTCAAGTTGCCGCGCGAGGGCTCCTGGATCTTCATCGTAAGGACCAGCCTGCTGCCTCGATCTAGGTCTCCCAGGTGGGGTTCGAGTAGATGGGGTCGGAGGATCGCGCCGCATCACTGATGCATCGACGATGCAGCTCGATGTGGAGCCCGTGGTTCTCCACACCGACGTCGCCGATGTATCGCCGATGCATCGGCGATGCGGTGCAATCCTCAGACCCCATCTACTCGCACCCCATCTAGGAGGCCGCCAATTTCCCCATCGGAAGTAGTAGTAGTAGTGTTAGTAGGAGTAGGGGGAGGAGGAGGAGGAGGAGGAGGAGGAGGAGGAGGGAGAGGAAAAGGAGGAGAAGGAGGAGGAGGAGGAGGAGGAAGAGGGAGAGGAGGAGGAGGAGGAGGAGGAGGGAGAGGATTTGATTTGACGCGTCGCGTCGCAGAGGCTAGGACCAGCAGCACAGGGGGGAAGGCTCCAGAGAGCCCAACCCCAGAGGGGAGGGCTCCCCAGAGCCCAACCCTCCACGCCGACAGCCGACGCCACACCACCGCAGCCCACCGTGCTGGACGGTGCCGTCCCAGCGGAAGCCCCTCGCGTGGCGCGCACGGCTCGGCGGAGGAGGGGAGGCAGCCAGTCAGCCTTCTTCCCCCTCTCCTCCTCCCCCCTCCTCCTCCGCCTCCTCCTCCTCTCCTCCTCCTCCCTCCTCCTCCTCCTCCTCCTCCTCCTCCTCCTCCTCCTCCTCCTCCTCCCCCTCCTCCTCCTCCTCCTCCTCCTCCTCTCCTCCTCCTCCTCCTCCTCCTCCCCCTCTCCCTCCTCCTTCCTCCTCCTCCTCCTCCTCCTCCTCCTCCTCCTCCTCCCCTCCTCCTCCTCCTCCTCCTCCTCCTCCTCCTCCTCCTCCTCCTCCTCCTCCTCCTCCTCCTCCTCCTCCTCCTCCTCTCTCTCCTCCCCCTCCTCCTCTCCTCCCTCCTCCTCCTCCTCCTCCTCCTCCTCCTCCTCCTCCTCCTCCTCCTCCTCCTCCTCCTCCTCCTCCTCCTCCTCCTCCTGCGGCGGCGCTCGAGGCCGAGCTCGAGCACGGCCAGGCGCCTGCTGCTGCTGCTGGGGCCGCTGCGGGCGCGGAGCTCGGCCAGCCGCCCGACGCCGCCGCAGGGGCCGCCGCCGTCGAGCTCGAGGATGCAGTGGTGGCCGCCCCCGAGCTGCAGGCAGCGGTGGCTGGAGCAGGCGTGGCGCGGGAGGTGCGCGGGGACTGCATCGTCGTCTCGCGGCTCGTGAACGGTGACGGGGCCATGGCCTGGTGCCTGATGTGCGGCTGCCGTTTCTGGAAGAGGTCCCCTCCTGCAGGGACTGGCCTGCTGGGCAGCTGCAAGGGGCGGCCTGCCCCTGGCGAGCGGGCGGCGGAGGCGAGGAGGCTCCTGATGCGCCTGCAGGAGCCGAAGAGCAAGGCTCGGCTCCTCGCCCCGCAAGCGCCCACGGAGGAGGAGCAGGCGCGGCTCGCGGCCGTGCTCCACGGCGGCGCTGGCGCGGCAGGCGGCGCTGGGGCCCCCGCTGGGGCTGGGCGGCCGCCGCGCTGGGGGCTGCGGCCCGCCGTGGCGGATGCCTGGCAGGCGGCCGCGCTCGACGGCTTCGCCTCGCCCGCCGCGGCACGCTGGGCGCGGGCGCGCGTGGCGGCAGGCTGGGAGTCGCCCTTCGGCGACGGCGGCGCGGCGTGACCGCCGCTTCGACGGCACCTGGTTTAGTCCGCGGGCAGGGCGCCAGGGGGCCGAACAGAAAAATTGCCCTCCTCCTCCTCCTCCTCCTCCTCCTCCTCCTCCTCCTCCTCCTCTTCCCCGACGGGTGGGGGCGGCGCAGCGAGGTGCCCGAGGGCGACGCTGCCGGCAGAGCCGCTCGGGCCGAGGGCGGGCCGCGCCCCCACGGCGCGCGCAGGCCCGGCGACTCGGGCGCCTCGAGTCTCGGCGCCGCCCTGGGCCTCGGCCGCGCGGCAGGGCGACGTCTGCCAGCGGCTGCGGGCGCTCAGGCACTGACATTGGCATCGCTCGGACGCGTGCATGTTTCTCTCGGCGAGGACCATCGAAGAGCCTCCTGGACCATCGAGGAACAAAAACGCGCACGAAGCCGAAAAATGCACAGGAAGTGGACGTCCGAGCGACGGCGAGTCAGGCTTTGACAGATTTGTGCTCGGCCAGCTTCTCTTGCATCCCATGGGTGAGCTGCAGTTTCATCGCAGCCCGGCCGCCTCGAACGCGTGGCGAGGGCTGCTGAAGCCGTGGCCGCTAAAGCGGCCCTCCCGGAAGGAAGGAACAACTTCCTGGAATGGGGCCCGGCACGCGAAACAGTCAACGGGTTCTTTCCCAGAAGGACAAAGACAAATTCCCGGAGGTCGATTTTAGCAGCGACGGATTTAGCAGCCATTGCCCAGCTTCCGACCGTCCTGGAGGAGCAGGAACTTCTTCTTCGTCTCTTCGATGTCATTGGTGGCCTCGGTTAGGCCCTTCGTCTCCATCTTGTCGTCAAGATCCTTGGAGAGGTCGCCTTAATTGGCCAGGCCATCATTATTCATTTGCTCTTTGAGCTTCATCTGCAAAGAGGAGCTGTTATTCGCCTTGTTCGCCACCAACCTCATGGAGGCAAGGTCGTTATTCAAATGCTTGGTGGCGTCCCCGATCTTGACAATATCGGTGTTGGTCGCCATCAGCTGCAAGTTTGTTTTGATATTCTCAAGATATCTGGTGTAAACCATGGCCTCTTCTTTCAGCTTGTCCAGGCTGAAGCTCAACACCTTCGTCTCGCCAGAGGTCTTCGTGGTGTCGCCGACTTGGCGCCCAGCGAGTGCCTCCAACTGGCTGACCTCGAGCTTGAGGCTCTCCATCCCCATCAGGTCGATCGGCTTGGACTTCAGGTCGCTCTCCATTGTGTTCTTCGTCATATCAGCACGATCTGGCCCAGTCTTGGGCACCTCGGACGGCATGTCCAGCGCGGTGCCAGGCGCGTGCTCCTCCACCTCAGGTTCGTCCGTGTGCGTCTTGACGCTCTCGCTCCCGTCCACGGGGCCGTCGGAGCCCAGGTTGAAGATCTGGGTGCCCTGTGTCACGTTCAGGTTCTTCATCATCTCCACCGTCGGGGTATTTTCCTTCTTCTTCTTGGCGGGCGCCTGCCCGAGCGTCAGCATCCACTGGACGAGCTTGTCCGACGCGGTGTGCGTGAAGGACTCCACCGCGAGGCCCTGGTACTTCACCACCAAGAGAGGCAGCATCGTGGCCAACATCGTCTCTTAACCCGGTGTTGCGGTACTTCAAGTCTCCGTCCTCGAGCCGCAGGCGCCATCGCGGCGCGCATTACGCCCCAGGACGTCGGCCAGGCGCATTTGGGCCAACGTGGCTTGAGGCTGACTTGCTACGGGATGAGGGAGGAGGAGGAGGAGGAGGAGGAGGAGGAGGTGGAGGAAAAGGAGGAGGAGGATAACTAATAATAATAATAATACTAATACTAATAATAATAATAGTGATTATTCTTATTAATAATAATAGTAATAATAATAAGGGTACTAATAATAATATTACTAATAGTAAACATAATAATAATAGTAATAATAACAATAATAATACTAATAACAATAATAATAATAATAATAATGATATTAATAATAATAATAATAATGATGATAATAATAACAACAACAACAACAACAATAAGAAACACAATAATGATAATCACAATACTGATAAGAATAATATGAATAAGAAAACGAAGAATAAGAATAAGAAGAAGAAGAGGAGGAGGAGGAGGAGGAGGAGGAGGAGGAGGCGAGAGGGAAGGAGGAGGAGGAGGGAGGAGGAGGGAGGAGGGAGGAGAGGAGGAGGAGGAGGAGGTGGAGAGGAGGAGGAGGAGGAGCCCGCGAGCGGTGCGAGCATTCAGCGCCCGCGAGCGGTGCGAGCCGCGCCGCCCCGCAGGCGTGGTGCTGCCTATCGCGCCACGCCTCGCGGCCCTCCCCTGCTGTGCCCGCCCCCTTCCCCCCCGGGCACGGCACGCGGCGGTCGCCCGCGGCTCGGCGGCGGGCGAGGGGGGGGAAATTAGGAGGAGGAGAGGAGGATTAATTGAGGAGGAGGATAGGAAAGAGGAGGAGGAGGAGGAGGAGGAGGAGGAGAGGAATAGCGGACGGCGAGCCGGCGGCTGAAGACACTAGGAGGAGGCGGAAGAGGGGGAGGAGGAGGAGAGGAAGGAGGAGGAGGAGAGGATGAGGAGGAAGGAGGAGGAGAAAGGAGGAGAACAAAGAGGAGGCGGAGAAGGAGGAGGAGGATGATGATGAGGAGGAGGATCAATCTCGGAGGATGAGGAGGAGGAGGAGGAGGAGGAGGAGGAGGAGGAGGAGGAGGAGGAGGAGGAGGATACGGCACTAGCTGGCGGACGCCGCGCTCCACAAGGGCGCCAAGCGCGCTCGATAGAGAGGGCAGTCGCTCGTGACCGCCCGACGCCTGTCTACCGCCACGCCCCCACCAGAGGATCGCGGGGCGTGTGGCGCAAGCAGAAGAGAAAGGATGGGGAACGAGAGGAGGCAGGCGAGGTGCGATCAGATGAGATGCGCCCCTCCCGCGCCGCTCCCCTGTCAAGGCCCAAACCTGTGGCCCTTCAAGAGTCTGACCCAGTGGGCCTCGGTCCGAGCCCAAAAGGGGCCGAGGGGTCGGAATTCTGCGAGGGTCCGCCCTCCCCTCGTCCGCGGGATGGGCCCCAGCCAGAAACTGGCGACGGTTTCTCTGGGCCCTCTTAGAGGGACGGTGGCCGAGGGTGCCAGAGGGGCAGTCTACGAGCAGGTGCCCAGCCGTGCCAGTAGTGCAGAAACCGCAGGAGACGCACAAGACGAGGTGGGGCGGGGCCACCCAGAGCCGATGGCCCCTGGCAGCCTCGGAGGGGACGGGCCCGCGGGACGGGGGGGTCACAGGCTGGCACCGTGCAGGCGCCAAGGACGGGCCTGTAATTCCCGCCTTTCCTGCCCACCCTTCTACGCTTGCCGGGCCTGGAAGAGCAGGGCCCTCGCGATCAGGTATCGCGATGGCTGAAGTAGCGCGCTCAAGGAGCATCTGACCAGGAGACCTCACAATCTGAACGGGGTCAAACGAAACCCTCGGCCGAACGCGACGACCAACGCCCTCGGAGCCCGACGACCCAAGGTCCCCCGAGTGCCGAAGACGAGCCGCACGACGAAGGTCCGAAACGTCGAGAGGGGAGGGAGGAGCAGCATGGAGGCGAACGGCGCCCCACTCAATCAGGGCCGCCTCCATCCCAGAGACGCCCGAGCCACCTGCCACCTCCCAGACCGCCCCGGGCAGGCGCACCCGCGGGCGATGGCCCCTCACGAGCCGGAGGGGCCCACGCTTCCAGGGGACCCGGGAGGGTCGCCGTGGGAGGTGGCACGCGGGACCCCAGGAGCGGGGCCAGCCCCCGCCGACGTGGGAGGCTGCGCGGGCTCGAGCGCAGGCGTGCCCCCCGGCGCGCCCGAAGGCGAGCAGGGCAGGAGCAGAGGGAGAGCTCCTCAGCCTGGGCGGTGGCCTCGGCGACGATGTTGCAGCACCTGCAGTGCAGCGTGGCCCCGCGAGGAACGTGGCACATGGCGTGCCCAAGTTGACGAGCTGGCCCGGGACTGTCCTCCCGTCGGGGGGCGGCCTGGGCTTGGCGCTTAGCCCCGGGCGTGGTGCTGGTCCGCCCCGCCTCCCTTCGAGAGCAAGGAAGGGCTGCACCGTCCACGGAAGACGAATGAGGAGACTGCTGTGATCAACTGCCGTGGCCTTACAGGTCTCCTTGCCACCCGCATGGATCGGGCCGGACGAAAGGGGGGGAGTGGGAAAGGGGGTTACGAAATTTGCTGCATGCAGCTGGTTTCGGCCCCACCGAGGGGCCCATTCCTCGATGCATAGCCGCCTCCGGCGCCGGGAGGCGCCGGGAAAATCAGCTACGCGAGCTGATTCTCAACCCCCTTCTTTGCTATCCCCCCCTTTCGCCCGACCCGAATCGAGATCGCGCCCGCGGGTGGCCGCAAGGTCGGCCCACCTGTTCCCACGGGCGAGCTCCCCAGGCCCCCTCTGGTGGTCCCTGCACAGCTCAACAAACACGCTGGTCCTAAAGCCTCCGAGGTCATCTACAGTCAAGAACCCTAATAAGGACGCGCGACTTTGCTCAGGGTACCCTTGCGTCCTTGCTCTTCCTTGCCCTTGCGTCCTTGAGGTTTTCGTCGCCCGCCGCCCCCAAAATCCCAACTTCGGCTTCCAAGGGTCTTGCGTCCTTACCGCGCGTCCTTGTTAGGGTTTTTGACTGTACGTTCCTCCAGATGGCCTCCCAGAGATCAAGATTCTTCCTACGACGGGCAGTGCACCACTCACGGCCCTTCTCGAACCCACCTAGGAGACCCTTACCATCAGTAACAATGGTGATTGGTGGGATACACAATTAAAACTTGCAAGAAGGCATACGTTTCAGCCCTTGGTTAAGTTTGGACAGGACCAGGTATGGGCCCGAATATATCAGTGATAACACCATGAGTAGTCAGTTGAGCTAATTCCCACCCTGCTCTCGCACTCTCGGTCCACATCGATATCTTTCTGCACGCGCCATCTGTAAACACGCGCCCTGTGATGCCCTGGGGGCCGTCTCACATATGCCAAGCTGAGGAGCGGATACGTCGAGGCACAGGCGGTAAGCAGGACCTGCCTACAAGCCTTCGGTCCCATAGCCAAGCGCCTCCCTCTTTGGCAGGAAACCCTCTGATATCAACTCCGCGGAAGTGCTGGTCTCTCTTTTGTTCCAGGTGCGGGCCCTCCCAGAACAGATGGCGGCTGTCGCAGAAGTCGTTGCCGCATCAAGGACAACGCGCCTCGGCACAGTATCCGAGCTGCCTGATGCGCGGATAGTGCCAGCCTCTTTCTGATCGGGCTTCCAGCTTCTACTGTGCTGTCCCCTGGGGTCAGGTGGAGGCTCCCCAGGACATTCGGAATGATCATCAGCTCCAGGGGGGGGGTCCTCGTGGTCAGGTGGGGGAGCCTCTCATGCGCTAGAACTCGTAAGACGGGCTCCAGCCAGTACCCTGTGGGCTCTCTAGGCTTCATAGGCCCAGCTGAGCCTGGATACCTCATGGCCCACCGTTCCCACAGGCGCCGAGTGGGGGCCTCCCTCGCCAAGAGCAGGACCGTGGAGAGGGGGCCTCCTTGGTGAGGTCGTGAGCATCCCCCCGGTCAGTCATGAGGAGGTGTCCCGCTGAGGTGGCCCACTTGAGGTCGCTAAAGGCGAGGAGGCTGGCCCCAGCGGGGCCCGACACGTGAGCCCATGGCTTGGAGCTGTGATCAGCGATCCGAAGTTGGTGCTGGCACGGTTTCTGCAAACACCCAAGAGGGACAGCGCCACCGCGGTAGAGTAGGGCCCACTGGTGAATGGGCGTTGCCCATGCAAGTCCTTGCGGGTCGGAATACATCGTGGACTGCAGGCAAGAGGTGAGCCACGCCGATGTGGCCCCTCCAGGAGCATGCCAGGATTGCCGGAGCACCTGCCTCATCTTAACAACGACCTGCGGCGGGGCGCCGTGCACGCCTATGCCGTAAGTCATGGCGAGCAAGGCAGCCTGCTTGACAAAGCGCATGGCCAGGTGGCCTGCACGTGGCCTGCTTGATCCTAGGCACATGTCTAGCCGTCGTGAGCACTCTCGACGTGAGTTTAGTGAACTTGATGGGCCTGCCCGAACTAATCTCGATTCCCAGGACCTCGAGGGCGCTGCAGTTGCACGTACCCAAGGCGTCGTAGCTTCCCGCAGACAGCCCTCCCGAGACGAGGACTACTGCGAGCGATTTCCATCTTATTCTTAGCCGTCGGGAGCCCCAGGCCATCTAGCACGTGGACCAGCAATCTAAGAACCTTGCAGGAGTCCTCGTAGAGACTGTTGGCGGGTTCTCGGATGGACAACGTGATGTCATCAGTGTACAGGTCAATCGTGCACCCGATCATGGCAGTGTGCTTAAACAAGGCATCGAAAGGGGCGAGCATGAGGCACTGGAGGGCGCACGTCGCGAACGCACACCCCGGGAGCATTCCTCTGCGTGCCCAAGTGGCCTCCGAGAAGCACCCTTCCCACACCAATGTCCTGACGCCCGAATGCATCCCCACAGCCAATACCATCATCTGTCCTGGGAAACCGTGGGCCGAGAGAGAGAGAGAGAGGAAGCGAGAGAGAGAGAGAGAGAAAGAGAGAAAGAGAGAGCGAGAGAGCGATATATATAGAGAGCGAGAGAGAGAGAGAGAGAAAGAGAGAGAGAGAGAGCCAGTCGGCGGCGGGCGAAGGGGGAAGTGAGAAGGGGGAGGCCTCTTCAGAAGGCGGCGGGACTCCTCGGGAGCCCCCCGCGCCTTCTCGTGAGTCTTTCTGTGGGGGGGTCCTTCGGGGAAAGCTTAGAAAACTTCTCGGGAGGCTGGAGGGCCTCCGAGCCTCTTCAGAAGGTCCGCCCCCTCTCGCTGCCCCCCCGGCGCTCGCCACCAAGCAGCGGCAGCAGAGGTCCGAGGCGGGGCTTTCCTCTGGACCGCCGCTTCCCCCCCGCGCTCGCCGCCAAACGGGGCAGCAAAAGTCCGAGGAGGGACGGGATCTTCGGAGCCCTCGGCATGCGGTGGATACGGATATGTGAGGGCCCCCGGGGGCCAAGACATGTCCACCCCCGCCGCACGCAAGGGGGGTCCAGGGCGTCGGCTCCCTGGCTGGTGGACATGGACGCATCCCCGCCTCGCCAAAAGGGGCGCTGTGGGTGGCCTTCTCCGGAGAGTTCCAGCGTCGCGCAAGAGCACTGCAGGCGCCCTTTTTCGATGCCGGGCGTCCCCAGACCCCCTCGAGTCGTGAAACAAACACCACGGGAGGTTGTTTCTGCCATCTTCAGCCTCTGGGGGCTCTTACTGGGGCCCGGGACCGTCAACAACGATGCGATATGAAACATCGGTCT